GAAAACCCCATTGCAAGAGCCATATACGATATCGCCAACACGGAAGGAGCCCACTTGACTACCGAGCTCAACAACACGACCGCAGACATCCAAGCCAGGCGTAACAGGTGACCGGAAAATCATTTTTGTAAGAAGACCAACTTCAAGGATTTTGTAGTCAATTGGATTGAGCGCCGTGCTGTAGACCTCAACAAGTACCTCGTTGGCTGAGATTTTCGGTTTGGTAATCCCTGAATTGGGCAGAAAAAGGTTCTTCTCGACTGGGCCGCCTGAAGGCCGAAATTGCCATGCTTTCATTGTCGCCATTATAGATTGCGAGGAAGTTCAAAAAGCAATAAGTAAAAAGAAGATCCAGAATGCGAAGATTTGATTGCCTTACTGATTTCTCAGACCCATCGTCGTGACATATATACCCACGGTAACTTAGCACTACTCGGAGCGTCGGGGCGAGTGCAACATACTGACCCCGAGATTGGTCATCTCATGTAAAGGGGTTACGCGGTTTGGTGATGGAGTCGCTAGAATAAGGCACCGATATTTCTAAGCAGATTGATAAGAATCAGAGGTACCAAGATTCTCCAGTGTTTATCAATAAGCCAAGAGCACCAAATTATTGGCTTACGTACAAGGAATAGTTACGTTCCCATATGGACGGCCTAGAAACGAAGGCTACAAGCTGAACAAGATCTCCCTAAAACTTAGTATCCCTCGCTCTACAGACACTAGTTGCCTTAACACAATATAGATGCCAACAAAGTCACGAGGCTGCAGCCCATTAACCTGTACACTTCTTCGAATCTTATTCGTACGCATGCACGCACCCCACAGAATACGCAAAGAAGAGGCGAAATATCCGCAAGCTGGCTGTAGAGGTGCTAGATCCAATATGAGTCTATTAGAGTAAAGATCAACAATTATTTGCCACGATCAGCGCGCTCTTTGTAAGTCACAGATGATCTAATTTCGTTCTCACATGGTAGTGAGCATCGTAATTTTGCGATCTATGCTACAGCCAGCGTCCACATTTATTAAAATTACAAGGCTTCACCAGTGGCTAGTCACACTGCCCGTCATCAAAGCAATCAGCATTACTTGATTGATCACTTTCACTATAACGGCTGCCGCAGCGAAAGCATTAGGCTTTAAGCTAGCTGTGCCATAGTTATTCAACCCGTGTAAATCCCAGTAATTCCACACTGGAAGCTAATCAGGAATTCGATCAAGAAGAAAAATGCGAGGTGGTACTATTTGAAATATTCCTTCCTTTTTAGAACCAGCTTGCTACCTGGGTATGAATACCCTCAGTTTGATACATCGGCAAATTTCTCGAACATCGTCTCTGTCTGCTGCAGGCAAAGGAAAGTGAAGTGGAACAGAATAGGGCAAGCGTTGGAATGCGGTCCACGTGTACTGGCTGCTTGAAGGACTATACGTATATTGATGGCAGCAGTGTGAGCCGGTGTGCTTGGCACATCGGAGGCCGAACCGCAATGAAGAAAAAGCTCCACGTTCCTTCCCTTTTCTGGCCTAATTTGTTCACTCAGCAAACTATGTAATATCGGATTTTGGACGGGCTTAAGCGGATTCTGGTACTGCTTACTCCCATGCAACTTAGTTACATTTTTAAGTTCACCTTGTATCCTATTTGGCTAGATTATATGTCTATTGGTAGGTTGCAAGACCCGACGAAAGATGAAGGACTCCGTACATCGGCCGTTCGGCCGTTCGGTCTACCTCCGGCCCAGTGGAGTTGCTGTTAGATGGCCGGGTGGGGAGATCCTCGAAATTTACCCTCACACCAAGAAATACAGTGTCTCGGATGCACTGCCAAAAGTGTGATGTCTGAAGGAATATAAAAACCGGAAATTAGGTCCTGAAATCTACGGCATACTCTCGCACCATCCCTTCCTTGACATTCTCCTGAATTCGACCTTTCAGCCAATATGTCTATCGCAGACCTCGTTATAGTCGTTGCTGGAGCCTCCAAAGGAATTGGCAAAGCCATCGCACTATGTGCTGCAAGGGACGGTGCGTCCGTGGTGATCAACTATTTGACCGATGCTTCGGCGGCAGAGGCTCTTGTGACACAAATCGGCAATGAACGCGCACTTGCAGTGCAGGCAGATATTTCTAAGCCATTAGAGATACTTCGTCTGATCAAGGAAACCGTGGCACGATTTGGCCGTATCGACGTCCTTATTCCAAACGCGGCCTTCGTACCCGTAGGCGGGCTACGAGATATTACAGATGAAGGCTTCGATCGGGCGTTTGCCGTGAACGTTAAGGGACCCTGTTTCCTTGCGAAGGTAGATATACCTATCTGCCCTTTACTCTAGAGTAGATTCTAATTGCTTTTAATAGGAAGCTATCCCGTATATGAAACCGGGCAGCGCTATCATCTTTATCTCTACCGACCTTGCAGACTCTAGTTCTGCGCCTCCGGAGCTTCTACTTTACGTGTCTACGAAAGCTGCGTTGAACCAGATGACACGGATAATGGCTACGGAACTTGCCACGCTAGGCATCCGGGTCAATGCTATTTCTCCTGGAGCAACGAGGACCGAGCTCTTCAACAAGACCAATAGTGTCGACACCATACAAAAGATTGCAAGTCGGAACCCCTTCAATCGGATTGCGGACCCAGATGAGATTGCTGAAGCGGTAGGTCTGTTGTGGAAGAATGAAAGCAGGTGGATTACTGGGCAGGTGGTGAAGGTGAATGGCGGTTCGGCATGATAGCCCCGCCCCCAATTGTCAGATTTAAGCTATTTGAGTCAATTAGTGAGAGATCAACAATGTTAGGTTGCGTGTTATCGCTAATTTAGAGGACATATCCCGAAAATCACTTTCCATCAATGTTGTTGTTAAGCCTATAAACGATTATACTTTTATTTTTGTGCTCTTTATACGTTGTCCGTTACCGATAATTCATAATTCATTAACCTCTGTTATTATCAGCCAACCAGAGTTCAGGAATCTCAATCACGCAGTGAATCAACAACAATTCCCTATATTAGCATGTCAGTGCAGCAAGCAATCAGGAACGTATTGCAACGACTCGAGACAGCTGAACACCGACACCATCCTGTTTGTTTCGTCTACATACTACAATCAATTGAAAATGACGCGACCGAACAATTTACCACTAAATTCGAGCGGTTGTGGGGCAGACCCAGAGGGGCATCGGTCGGTCGGTACTCGACGCTCCGAAATTCCGACATGCGGCACTATCAAGTTAGCCATGGAAGATTGAAACAGGTGTGGGCCCTGTAATGATACGATCTTCAAGAACATGTCTCGGTGTCATGGAAATGTGCTCCGTTGGGGTACAATCGATAAGGTGCAATCAGCGCGGAGCGTGCTTATACGGTCATTACGTCAAAAATCTTTGCAATCTAGTATAACATATATTCCAAAGCAAAGCGTCAGAATCATCGACTTTTCGAACCGAGTTAGGACAACCGATGATCAGTACTATCACCCGAACGAGTACTTAACCTAGTTACATCTTGAAATTTGCGAGTTATGCTACTGAACTCGATTATAAGTCTCTCAGTCGGTTGCAAAATCAGCGCAAGATGAATTACTCGGCACACCAGCCATTCAGTCGGTGAATCTATGGACTGTCTACACACTGCTTCGGTCACTCGGTACTCGGCGCTATGAAAGCCCGACATGCGGCATTATCTAGTTATCCACGGAAGCTTGAAACACTGGTGTCTGTGTTGAAGCTGGCAAATCGAGCTTGAGGACAGAGTTACACTACAACACAGAGATTGGGATCCTTTTTGGACCCCCAGGACTACCTTTGGGATTTTTCTGGAATTTTCAATTATTTCCATACACCCTGATTTCTGTTATTTTCCAAACATTCTCGTTCTCTCTTAATAATTAGGGCTTAGAGGGTCATCTTTAGTGGCTTCAATAAAGTAAGGGTCCAATGGTGCCTCCCCGCCAGCTATGAGGTGCAACGACAATGCTAAAATGCGGGCTCCGCTTGTTGTAAGGATGAACAAGCTCTGGGAGATACCAGCCAGTAGGAGTCTCTCGGCTAGGCAAAATTGCAGTAACGAGAGAATGAACAGAAACTTGGGTCTTTGAGACCTTTTGATAGAAAGAAAAGAATTGGTAGGGGAGAAGAGGATGGGATTCCGAATGCAGCAGGCTAGGGCTATGGTAAGAAGAATGCCATGGTAAGAAGAATGAGAGTATTCACGTGTCCACCGGCATTTGTCCTTAAATAGTCTGAATACTAAACATCTGTCGACCCTGACTCAAGACTGGCAAGGGCCGACTCATGCGCGATTTGTTGAAACATGATTACCCATCGTCCGGCACCGGGAATTTGGACAGAGCTTTGATAAATCCGTTACAAAGACCGAATGTTTAAGATTATTCTGTTTAATTATTCTTTCAAATACGGTACAAAATGTCTAATGTATAATTTTATCGAACTAGATCCCAAAATGGCTCTCTACTTAAATTTACTAATCCTAGGCCTTTCACTAAAGAACCTCGTCCATCGTTACTCAAAATGTTCAATTTGTTTAAGAGTAATATTAGCTCCTTATATATAGACTGGGGGACTAGAGCCGTTCTAAGGTATTTAGTCAGGGCTTCAAGGTGGAGCCGGGTTTTGCCCCTGTTGCAACCTGCCCCGGCCGGACTTTGAGTTGAGTCAAATATATTTCCTTTACATCTTGGCAGACCAATGAGATGAACGTGCATTTGATACCGGACTTAACTTCAGAGGTCATTTTCAATCGCTGTGTCTGTCAAGCGAGCTGTTCCGTGATATCCGCTTGATAGATCCTCTAGGGTTCGATATGGCCATTTTTAGCAAGTTCCTGCCTAACAAAACGTCCGACTAAACGCTCTATTGGCTCGGAACGCCTCGGAAGTATACGCTGATCCCACAACTGTCGCTCATCGTGGTATGAATTTAAATCCTTTCGCACTTAGTCTTGGTGATAATCGCATTTTCAGCAACTACGGCTACAATGTCGACCAAGCAGCCGGGATATGAGCTGGACAGTGAAAGCGATATTCATATCAACACAAGCCTATCCGGTGATCCTTTCATACTATCCGATCTGGATATGACTATGCCAGACACGCTGGTCACGCCATTTGTGATATACAACTTGCCACCACACCACAATGCCCAATTCATTGTGGATTCATTTCAGCGCGGACTAGATGAGGCCGTCAAGCAGCTCCCTTCTCTTGCCGCGAAAATCATTTTTGACGGCTGCAGGAAGCCACAGAGAAGAATGAAACCAGGTGTTCTCAAGCTGACAGTTCGTCAATTCGGACCGGGCCAACACAAGTCATATGCAGAGCTTGCCGAGAATTATTTCTCCCCTTCTGAACTAGACCATCTGAAACTCATGCCAGGCACCGCATATGCGGATACGACAGAGCGACCGCTCTGCATTCTTCAATTGAATTTTATTCCTGGTGGCATCATACTAGCCTTTGGCTTTAATCATGTGCCGCTGGATATGGCGTCTATGGACCTCGCCATTTCCTTGGTCACTAAGTGTATCCAAACACAAATGGATGACTCTCCACTGGAATTCACGCCAGTTACTTTTGACCGGAAGCCTTTAGCTGCGTCAAGCAAGCTAGCATCATTGCCCCGGGCAAAACTATTGGAACAGACCTCGGACTATCAAGTCTGCAACACCGCCGCTACGATCAACCAACCTAGTTCCAAGGCGCTCGAGAACAAGAATTGTGTCAATAAAGGAGTAGTTTATCGAATCAGCAACTCCAACACAAAGAGACTGAAGCAGGCTTGCCAGCCCCTCAATGGCATCGCGAAATATGTATCCACATATGACTGTGTCGTGGGCTTGTTATGGAAGAGTGTGATGCGCGTTAGGGCTACAAACAACACAGATTTGAATGACAGGTTGTCTCGGTTATTACATCCAGTGAGCCTACGCAACCGGCCCGGATCAGAAATCCCCGAAAGCTATTTTGGCAATGCCCTCTCTGTGGCCAGTGCAGGCCCTGTCCCCATAAAACAGCTCACTGGTCCCAGTGGCTTGTCCGTTGCTGCCTCTCACATCCGGAAATCCGTAGAAGGAACCAGCCAGAACTCTATTGGTCATGTGACGGCCCTGAGCTCTACGATGGGCCCTTCGGAGAAGATGCAGTACCAACCACCGGGGCTTTTGGAAGAGAACTTTTTGGTCACTAGCTGGCATTCAGCTCACGCCGCGACCTGGGACTTTGGCCTTGGGGCACCCCAGATGGTGCGGACATGGGTATTGCCTATGCCAGGATGCGCTGTTGTATTTCCCGATTGTAACCCACAGCCAAATGAACGAGTGTACGACTGCTTTGTTATTCTGCCAGAGGCTGAGCAGGATATGTTGAGTCAAGACGTGGAAATGAACACTTGGTTTCAAATCCAATGATGCCCCAAGGATATCTGTGCACAAAATTGTTATTGAGAGTTGTTGACTATCAAGGTTGAAAACATGGTTGAGATAGGGTAATACGTCAAATACCAAGTCCAAATACATGGTAGAAACCAGGTATTTCACTCCCAAGTGGTGTACACCCCCAAGTGGCGCGCACCCGAGAACGCATACAAAAAGCGATAAATTACAATATGATATTTCAACAACTAGCACTTTTATTTAATTTTATTACTTGCCGATAGCAATTGATAAGCATTTCTAGTGTTATATATCAATTTTAGATACGTTGAAAACTTATAACTAGTGAAAAATATAGCCTTAAGGGGTACTTCTGTTACCGTTTTTCACTAATGATTTTCATGAGTGATATTGGTCAGATGGGCCACCCGCATTTCAGATGAAGGGAAAACAAATAATACACCACATCTAACAACAGAAGAGTAAAAGGAGCATAGGAATCAACAATATACGTAAAAAGATTACCATAGAATGAGCGCATATGAGGCAGATACTTTGATAACTCAGCACTTAGTTGACACTGGCCAGTTCTTTCCTACAATTGACTGAACATCCAGAGTTTTGACAATCATTAAAGGGGGGAGGCATCTATGAAAGGAATGTACTGTCGCGGGCATGTACACTGATATATACCTGGGCGCACATCCTTATCAGAAAAAATAAAAAAAAAAATAAAAGAAAAAAAAGCCAACCAATATAAGTTTGCATTGCTTCTGACCTGGTTTCGAACACGTGGTCCTATGCCTAGTTTATTATGTAAAAATAAAGCCTCGCCCACTAATTACCTACAAAGTAGCCACTATTGGTCAGTATATGATATCATCTTTCCATAAGTGGTCGTATAGACCCAATCAAAGAATCGTCCACTGTATTAGAGCCTTGGCGTTAACACCTCCTTTTCTTTCTTCACACCGTTCAACTTGAAAGGTTGTTTGGTTCCGACGCACATAAACAGCAACCAGAGAAGTCAACCCTGCAAGTATGGCTCTTCAAAGGCAGAGACCCGATATCGGATTGCGTATAGATATCATAGATCAACCCGAGGATATCATTCAGGCTTTTGACTGCGTATGCGAGGCATTCGGTCGTCAAGTGCAAGATGGGATCTGGATAGCCATGAATCCAGGATGGAACACGCCTCACGGGAGGGCATGTGGAGCTGAGAGGATGGTAGCCCGCTGGCGGCACAAAACCAATGACAAAAACGGTCTCCCGAACACCGTATTTCTCAAGGCTACGCTGCCGTGTCTGCAGTTTGAACAGAGGCGTACCATCGTGGGCTTCGGTATTTGGGTGCAAGCTTCCAGTGTAGAGGGCTATGGTGATCCTCCAGTGGAAGATCTAGCACATTCGATGAACCTCAATGCGCTGTACCCCGATAATGAGCCTGAACGACGCTACCTCTGTCAAATAATTTCGTCTCTGCATAGAAGACGCACCGCGGTAATCAAACAGAAATCCACTGCAGCGCTGCCAGCGGTGATGATTCTAGACATGTGCGCCGTCGAGCCATCGCACCAACGGAAAGGCATCGCGCGAGAGCTTGTACAGTGGGGCATCGATGAAGCACAACGACGTGGAGGCCTAGAAGTCATAACCGAAGCGTCCAGTATGGGTCGACATGTGTATGGACAGATGGGGTTCAAAGCAGACGGGCCTGAAATTGAATATGTTGTGGACGATGAATTTGCTTCTCGCAAGAGACCGCCCAACCTGTTTATGCGCACCCATGGCTCCGTTGTTTGATTTGATCTTAGTATGAAAACTGTACCTTAATATATAGCTCTTTACCAGTACTACTACTAGACCTTCATTTACCTTGTACAGTCATGTCTTAAGAAGCAGAGAACCAACTACTATAGTATATATTGAGATCACCTGACCCTGTTTGACAGGACTGGCAGCAGGACAGGCAGCTACAAATAGCTTTCCCTTCCTTTTCTTCTTCCTCTCCCCTTAGCAGTTAGCAGTCAGCTACAATACAGTCATATTGCCTGCTCTCTTCTCCTAGTTTCTCATCAGTATACTGCCTACTCTTATAGAATACTGCGGGAAACTTCACAAATATGCTAGATGAACTGGCCATGCAAGTCGCCATGAACTACCACGCCTCGTTAGACTACTACGACCTAGAATGCCTTAGGACTCTAAGTTTCTTGTTTCGCACCGGTATGGCTAAGATATTCCCCCACCTTCCATATATCGAATATCAGATAAACTCCAATTTATCATTACTGATCTGCCGTACAACAGACTCCTTCCACCTTCTGGCATTCTTCGACCTAAGTCGAACTCAATCATTCCAATAACTAAACCATTTCATTTCCAATTTGATAAACAGACTTACAGAGATACTGATTGCTTTTAGTCCCGCTTGTATCTGCGATAATGGTCATATATTCTAGGATAATACGTAGTTTAGGTATTGAATTGTCGTCTCTCACCACACTTCCGATGTCCATAGGGAGAGTTGAACACATTGGACAAACTAACCAAGTGGCGGATACCTTTAGGAGAGGGATAAGTTAAACCTATATCTATTTACGATATTGTATTATAGGCTTACAATAACTATACAGAGACTTTTGGATCGTAGTAGGTGGAAATATATATCTATATTGAAGAGGGGAACGCTCAAGGCAGTATACTCTAAGGCATACGGGTCGATTCAGCACCCGTAGTTCAGCTTCATACCCAACTTTGCATACAAAGGAACCTAGGTGCACTGCCCAAGAAGTGGATTCAGAGAGGTGTAGGAGTGTGTATTCTCAATCTGTGTCCAACTGCTACTTGTAACCTCGTAACCCAACGCTTACATAAAAAACTGATAGAAAATAAGAAAGAGACAAGCGCAATGCGTAGTGGAGAGCCTGTTTTCCCACTACAATATATATATTGGTTTGCATTCGGACCAGGGTCAAAGGAATGAAATTTTGTTCTCTCGCTCTACCACTCACTCTCTCTCTCTTTCTCCCTTATGTGTGTTCCTAAAGTCTCTACCATTTGTTCCCTTGGGGTTCATCTCCTCATCCTTGCCTTTCCTTCATAGTCAACATATCCCCCTTTCAGTCTTAAATTCTCCCTCTACTTAGAAAGGTTTGTGGTCCGCTAATCGATGCTTGGGCTATACGAATTTGGCCTAGGATGCGCTACATCGTCGCCTTTAGTGTAACGCTCCCCATGACTTCACTCGGGCGCACTAGTATCACATCCTGCTAACATTTCTAAGCACCCCTCTTTTTAGGTACAGATGAATGAACATAGGGTGGTTGAAAACTGCATCTGTCTCTCCCCAACATTGCTAATAGGAGTGGAACTTGCAAGAATCACAGTGCGGGAAAGAGAAAAATGTTAACGCCAAGTTGTATCTCGTAATAGGAAGTTGATTTCCACCAAGGAGAAGTTATACAGTAATGGTAACTAGATTGTTTTATCCGGCCCTCAAAATCATATAAAAACTATCGTATGTGAATATCATCTCTTCTGTCTGACTATTTAGTATATCCTTTTGTAACATTTGACTAATGGGGTAACTTGCGCATCCTTTTCCAATCTCTCTTAATAGCCTATGCCTATTTTACGTGAATTTCATCTGATTTTAGTAAGTTTTCATGTTCGTTTCGTCAAACAGCTTACCAAATTTGTAGCTTGTCAGACTCACACATTGCGGATAATCAAGTTTGGAGCATATCCATATCCAAAACATAAAGAGCGAAATTAGGCCAAAACGGTACATCATACGTCATGCGAGATTTTCAAACACGACAATGGCTTAGTGAAACTCAGCTCTCCCATTTAGGATGAATCTAGATAATACTATGTAGATGGTAAGACATGGCGGGGCGAAATACGAGGTTGGCCATCAGCTCCACGTAATTGAAATGTTAGATGTATAACCTAGAACCGTGCCTCCTCGTATTTGTCAACACGATATAACTCACCATCTCTACGGACTCCAGTGGTAAATGTCTTGGATTTGTATATTCTCTATGGTTCGCGTTGAAGGGTGAGACATAGGTCCCGTGGTACCATGCCTTCGTATTTGATCGAGAGTTCTTGCTTTGTTTTCTTTTTTATTTAATATGGGATTGTTATTCAAATCAATTACCCTATCCGAAATAATATGAGTCTAAATAGAAAAAAGTTACTATTCCAAAGGGAGTCAAACGTCCATGTGGTTTTTTCAATGCATTAAATTTTAGCTGTTCGATAGCGCACTCATTTGGACGCTGGTTAATGTAGCACAAAACAAACCTTGGACAGGCAAATATGCCATAAATATACGCTCAGGCCCCCGTCAGGCTATAGGGAGAGAGACACGAGCTCAGCCTTAGGACATTTGCGCAGCAGCCATGGATTGCCTAGTGTCTGAAAGGCTATATCTATAAATAGATAAATCGAGTCTTGGGACCCTTCTGTAGCGAAAGAGTCTATTGCGCGATGACTTTCGCGCTTAGATGCCATCTCTATATGTAATTTCATTTTCAATAACTATTCACTGTTATATTTGTAACTTCTGTTTATTTCTTGGATGTCTTAAATGCGATATTAGCCGCTAAAACGCATCATCCGAGGTGCATAAGAACGGCATCTTTATTCGGCCGTAGAAGGTATTCCTCGCATATTCGTAGATATTGAATGGGAATGGGTGGCCTTAATATAGAACCTCGACAGATTAGTATACGAAGGGCTGTGCAGATCAGCTATTGTGTTCTCAAACCCAACTTGGTTGCGTCAGGTCGTATCATCAGCTCGATGTCTACTAATCCAAAGGCTAAGAATAGTATACATGGGAAGATCTTGGAGAATTCAGCCTTAGGTTGGAGCTCAGCAATCTAGTAAGAAAGGTATAAAATCGACCTTCTTCCTGCGGATTGTGATTCCTTTCACTCCGAAAAACATCTTAGTCCAACCTTGTTTTCAAAGCTTCCAACCAATCGTCCCTCCAAAGAACATCATCACATTTTGCACAGCTCCCTTCAAACATCTCAAAATGAAGTTCGACATTGCTGCTATCGTCCCTCTTATGGCCGTCGCTATCTCTGCCACTCCTCTTGAGGTCCGCCAATCCAACCAAGTTACCGTAGCTCTGTCCAATGACCAATCTGGCAGCTATGCTGGCGTGACATTCCAAGCCGATAACACCGATAAGAGCGTCTTCACCCTCTTCAGTGGTACCTCTGTTGGAGCGGGTGGTACTGTTAAGGCAACCGCCGCCCAGCTCACCAACTTTACACCGTCTATCAATTGTGTCATCAGGAACAATGGCGCTACCATCGGTACCTTGACTGCTCAGCAAACCTATCTGGACCTTGATGGTAGTTCTCACGCCGCAATCCCAATCAACCTCAACAATGCTGAGATTCACTGTCGTGTTTGAATACCTGGCTCTCCACAGACGCCACAGCTCTAAGAATTTTTTGAGTGATAGGATGTACTGAAGCTAAACTGGTATCGATTGCGTGTCGTATTGCCGTCATGCTCCTTTCTATGACAACTGTCTTGTTGCGATCAACATATGTCGATATATACCTAGGTCTTCAATTTATTGAACATGAGACTTTTCGTAACTAGATATTGAAATCCGTGGACGTGTTGAAGGCTTAACAACTAGTAGAAGCCACATTGTAGCACCTGTAGTGGCTGGTTCCTATTAACTCCACGCAATTATCTTTTTAAAATATTACTAATCTTGTACGTTTTGTTGTTCTAGTCATTTCCTAAATAACATTATCTTATCATCCCCAAGGTTTTCAACTTCTAAAATGGGCCACAAGGTCCTCCAAAGAGAAAAAGAGGCGTTCTGAAGTTTTTGGACAATTCTTTTCGTGTCTAAAAACGAAGAACATGGAGTCTCCCTTGAATGCCAATATGGATGAAGCTACAAGGTGCAGTTCTCATGCCCATGTCATGGACAACATCGAGGGTTGTGACAATAGGTATTTCGACCACAGTCGAAGAATGTATGTCCTTCCCCTCTTGAACTTACTCACCAAAAGCTCCAGTGGATGGTTTAGTTGACAAGTCACCAGAGCGGACCTCCGAGTCTTACCCCTTTTGGTAGTTGGGTTCGCTAGCTATCAGCTCGACAGAACCAACATTGCCAGCGCACTCACAGGCAATTTTGCATCCGTCATATCCGTCAACCAAAATACTATCAATCTCGGAAATCAACTGATGTTCTTGGGTGTCATTATACTTGAGATACCATCAAATATTATTCTACACATGGTACGTCGCATTCCTAGCCAGATCATACACGAGTCACTAAGTTGAATTAGGTTGGTCCTCGCCAATGGATCAGTGCACAAGTCTTTGTATTCGGGGTATTAGCTTGCCTACAAATATTTGTACGCAATAGGTTAGGTTTCCTACTCACAAGAACGTTTTTAGGTCTTGCTGAGGCTGGATATATTCCTGGTGCAATGTACACACTTTCTACCTGGTATACCAAGCAAGAGTTGACAAAACGAATCGCCATATTCTTCTTTGGCATGTTTGGCGGAACGGCTGTTTCTCCGCTCCTTGGAGCTGCTCTGTTGAAACTGGACGGGAAAAATGGCCTCTTTGGCTGGCAATGGATCTTCCTCGGTACGATTAGGGCTGATCCCTCAAACACCAAACTACGTTAACAAATCTGTAGTCGAGGGTCTATTCTCCGTTTCTGTGTCTATTATTCTCTTTTTCTTCCTTCCTGAACACAAGGAACTTCTTGTGTCGTCTAATGAGGTGAAAATTTCGGAGGCTAGAGTGCTTCGCCCAATGAAGAAACCATTGGCTCCCCCTGGAAAACCGCATATATCATTCGTATTGGTTTGGAAGACGCTGACAAACATACACAAATGGCCGCACTTTATTGCCACAGGCTGCGTCTTCGCTACATGGAGTCCTCTCACAACATATACTCCAAGCATCTTTATGGAACTTGGTTTTGCTCGAATTGAGGCAAATGCATTTTCTGCAATCGGAAGTTTGCTCACTCTCCCAGTGATTTTGCTTTTTGCGTGGATGAGCGACAAATCGAACAAAAGGGGCCTTACTGTTATGGTTGCTATCTTGGTCTACTTGATCGCATTAGTAATTCTAAGAATCATGATGCACCGTGTGGATAAATGGGGCAAGTTCGGACTCTGGACTGCTGTTAATGCTCTGGCTGTGGGGTATCACCCAATCCACAATTCTTGGATCCAAATCAACTGCAAGAGCTCGGAGGAGAGGAACATAAGTGTTGCGTGAGTAAAATCTTTCCTACTGGCCGTCCTCCAAATAGATGAGCTAACAACCTTGCCTCCACACGCAGAATGTGTAAGACTACTAGACCTATTGTGGACCGTCCTTTTTTCTTTACTAACTAAAGGAAGTTGTCATGGCAGCTACGGGGGGGCTTATGGCGGGAACCCAGATATTTCGAGCGGACGAGTCCGCTATATTGTAAGTCCTAAGCTTCCAGGTCTTACCCACGTTGCAATGCTAATAATGAGTCGATCGACCTGGTAGCTATCCGAGAGGGGTCCTAATCATGATTGGGTTGGTGATTGTGGGACTGGTCCTTGTGTTTTTACAAATCTCAATCTTCTGGATCCAAAATAGGCGCATGAAAGCAATTTCTGGCAGCATGGTTTTGAACGTTCTATAATAAGCCATAGGTGGCCTTCTCGTCTAGTCGCATTTTCCCATCTCTCACTTTCCTCGTGTACGGCCAGACACTATGTGTACAACTTCGCGGAATTCTTTGAACTGGTATTTGTGCAGGAAAAAGAAAACAGAAACCACAGAATACAATGAAAGCAACAAGGCTGAAAATAAATGAGGCATTCACCAAAGCGCTAATCACGTATATTGAGCCAACGCCAGGTAAAAACCATTGACTTGTTGAACAGGCTTTAAACCCCCAGTGTCTCCGTCACTTCGTTGACTATCCTTTTAGCCAACATCTGTTCGGAGGGATCCACGTCATTGAGGAAGTTGTCACATTTTTCTTTCACCGCAACTCCAGGATGATCTATGCTTTGTTCGATGTCGGAAATCTCTCTCAGTAGTTCCTGCATCTTCTGAAAAACCTGCATTGGAGGAAGTAGCCCCATCTTGACCCAATCCAGACCCTTGAGACGGCATTCTGGGGTAACTTGTAATGTGGCACGGATAATTGCTAGGCTTCGAGTTCGGTTATTTAAGACTCGGTCCACAGAGATATGGCCATGAGCTTTGGTTTGCAGATGACGTGCAATCCTGGTAGCGCCAATCTCAGCCAGTGACGAATATACCAGAACTCCTAAAAATGCCAATTGCATAGCGCCCTTCATATTCACCATACATGCAACCGAGGATATGCCAGAGAATGTCCCTGTCAAGGTCCAGAACCAGTGCAAAGAATTCTTTACCCAAGTCCGATCATATTCCCAAGTGGAACGTGCCCATTCCTCAAGCTCCCGTTGTGGTCCTTTGAATATCACAGTGCCCCCCTCATCGCGTTCATATACCGCATATCTACCCCGCAAGTCGTTTTTGATGTGAGCTGGCTTGTGGATCTTGACCATCGAAGTGAAGGAAATAAGCACAGAGGCGAACCAATGACTGCTGTATAGAAAAAACAAGGTGAAAGCCCAAAGGTCGGCTGCCAAAATCCCGCACACCATACCGGTCGTTAGCATGGCTCCGTTGACCAGACAAATCGAGTCCAATGTCCATTTCCCGAGAAGCCACCTTAGGTTTCCCGATTGCTGACGCACATTTTTCTGGCGTTCTTCGATTGATGGGTACATGGCATCCACACAAACGACAACGAAGTCATTTCCAGGTTGCTTGGATGTTTGAAAAGATATTATTTCAGTCAGCCATGCGTTGCTCAAGTTGAGTGGCAGTTGGCGAAATACATTCCCCGATACGTCCGATCGTACGGGGAGCATCGTGGTATCTTGTGCGCATAGTTTGATAGATGGATGGATCCACTTCATCGTGGCATTAAGGCGTTCAACAAGCATTTGCATGGGTGGTAGAGTCCCTCCGATCATTGTCAGGTGTGGCCATATGAATAATCCTCGGTCAAACTGAGTGTAAAGTCTTGCTGCACTTTTGTCGACGCGAGGGTTGTAGAGAACGGCTGCGACACCAAGCGGGTCAAACGTAACTCCGTCATCTCTCTTCAATTGAGCGTGCAGGTCTGTTAGTGATTGTGGAAACTTTTCTGCCTGTGCTTGTCCAATTATGGAGAGAAGACTTGGAAGATACAGCGATGATGATGGCATTTTAAGGAAGACAGGCGAGGTCTCCGAGGTTCGCGACCCATTGTTATTAAAAAAAGAAGGTTACCCAGGTCAATAAACACAAGCACTCAAGATCCCGCGCGACTTCGCTAATCCTCCTTTATTAGGTTTAGTGCTGACTAGCTGAAGTCGCTATGTTCGTACCCGACGATCTTGAGCGATCCACTAATGGCCATACCCCATCCAATAGACGGTCAGGCAAAATAGCGCCTGACAAGGGAGCTTGAATCCGTTAAGTCACAGTACGCAGCAGCTATTCTATTATTTACCTACTCTGTCTAATTCGTATATCATCTGTAATGTGTGATTTCTTCCTAGGCAACCAAGGGGATTACATGGAAGAGAAGAACAACTACTCCGCATATTTGTAAACAAACGGAGTTTACAACATAAGTCCGATCTCAGCTCGCACTTGACAAATCAAAATGTCCACATTCTCAAATAATCGTATCATAACACGTGATCGGCCATGTGCCTATACGAAAATCCACCCACATTCCTACAATACCACCGCCACCACTACCACCACCTTAATTCTAACCCGAACATGTACGTGGCAACATATTCGGTGTGAGGGCTTCACACCTTACCGAGGAATTTATGGATGAGGCTGAAAATTACGACCCGAAAGGTCTCTCTCAACTTTGTGCTTCATTCGACAAAGGTGGTGGGGTTGCACTAGGAGACGCATTTGCTATCTACTCTGTTGTCGCGTCCTCGCCAGATTGGAGCACGACATCATCCAAATCTAGGTTTCAGGCAGAACTCATATCGGCAGCTTCTGCCGTTGGAAACGTGATTCCTGTCCTAGTCACCACGGAAAATGTATTCACGGTAAACATTGTCTCCTTGCCATGTTTAAAGCATCCACCTTTCAACTCTGCGCGGGAGATATCACCTCACGACTGCCTTCCTTGGTTCCTTATAAATGCGTCAAAATTTTCTAAGCATCAGATCGTCGGTCGCAAAGACATTGTTGAATCCTTGCTCATGATTCTCCAGCGACCGTGGTGTGTCCTCGAATTATGTTGCTGCGATAGCCCGACCATATCGGCTATCCACCGCTTTGCTGTTATTGCGACCCAGCTCAACCCCGAACTCTACAATCATGCCTTGGTATTGTTACATCAAGAACTAAGAAGAAGAACAATACCCTCTTTCGGTGACATAAAACCCTCCAAATTATCCTTGATTAAACCCTGGATATCCTTTGCCGAACTCGATATCACATGGTTTTCTCTCAAGGAAGTCTATACAGAGTTGTCTTCTAGTCGACTTCGCTCACACAACTCATTCTGGTTGCGACTGATTTCTACCTGCGCTCCATACCTTGGTATGAGCTGTTCAGATTTGGTGTGCATTTTGTCGCACATAACTTCTATCGGCGGCAATCTCTCGAGGCAAAAGCACACCACAGACCAAGCATATTATTCAAGTATTGGACGGATCTGGCATCACTCTCACAGTTCAGTAACCATATCCACACGCGAATCGGTGCTCTCAACAAGGAGGAGTACCTTGAGTGTTACGGACCGTGATAAATGTTTGGCACTAAATGATTTGGAAATTCCGAGCAGCGGTCCGCAATTCTTGCTTCTAATATACAGACAAGTTTTGCAAACTATCTCCGATTCCTTGCCTTGACACCGCACAGTAGATGGGCGACCGGATTACTGGTTGCACAGTTATTTACATCCCCTTCAATTGCCCCGTGACAATGCGGGCATCGCCCCAGGGATTCCAACTTACACAAACACAAAGTGCTCGCAGCCCTCCCGTTATTTCACAGTGAAATTTCCTATCTAAACCTCTTCACTCAGATGTATACTGCTTTGCAGTATAATCCCACCAAATATATCTCCATATATTCCAAAATTCACAGATTTACACCCTGTCATGCTAGAAGCTGCAATCCAGTATTAAATCCAAGAACCATTACTTGAACCACCTTTCTTAATTCGGCTCTTTCGTGCTCCCCATTCATCTCCATATAACCTCCCACATGCGGAAGAATTCCCTTGCAAGCATCCAAAGACCTCTTAGTTACCTATAGTCAAATTGATAAACTTTACGCCAGATATATCCGGTATCTTCCATTATCGCACCAGGGCAGTATGCACTTCGTTTACCCTTTTCTTGTGTTTTCTATCACCAACCACGGATTTAGAATTATTTTCTTTTCGCCTACTTCTCGAATCTTCCAGGTATATCCTTAGGATTGGAACTGACATGATCCTCCGCATAGACACACGTCAGACTACCTATAACCCGACCCTTCTGCCTTCCACCCACCCCCACATCTAACGGCGCTGAAGCAAACATCTCAAATAAAATGCCTACCTTGATTCATATCCGTCTTTCAATATGACTGTTAGAGCTTATACCAAACTTTGTCGTGCCCGCCCTGTCTTGATCATCGGTACTGGACTTGGGGGACTTTGCTTGGCTCGGAGACTGCGACAGCCCATCTAATTCGGTCATCAAAAGCAATGAGACATGATTTATGTGCTCAAGACTACCGTCTGAAATTGGTAGATACGGCGCTCAAACCCTATACTCTCTTGAATATGCTTACACCTGCAATATTGAACGGTTTTGGAATCAAGCCCAACGGAACCAAATAACGCAACGATAGCTCCGCAATGGCCTCTGGTTTGGCAACCCTTCCATCCATTATCGATTGGAGCATATTCTTTGTTCTCCTGACCGGCCCGAGTAACCATATGTTTTGGAAAGAATTTTAGGTCTTACTCCAAGTAGACTCACGGCATTCTTTCGAGATGGGACAGGGACATACAACGCATAATTCCTTGTCGACGCAGATCCTGTTAACCCGCATCAAAGAGCTGTTTTGCCCATGTACCAACGCCATTAATACAATCACGAGCATCATCGAATATGTCTAAACAACCCGTTTCTGGCCCATTCTCTCGAGGCAGATCACTACAATATGCCTCCCGTCATGGAGCCTGATAATGAGTCTCCAACTTGGGTCTCTGGTTCTCTACATAGCTCACACGCGGACGGAAGCCTTAAGTCTCAACCTCCCAGTGTACATTCGGTGGGCGCTCATCATCCCACTACTTCAGTACTTTCTGCATCAAGGGACAACTTTTCTGAACCCCTAATATCCTTGACTTGAAAGGCCTCGCACAACCGGTACAAGAGACGCTAAGACTGCTTTCTACGGTATCGATTATTCATCCTTATCGAGAAAGTTTGAACATCGGAGACTTCGCACAGCTATATATCGGCAGGTCATTTGAGATTATGAGCTAGAGTTTGAAGTCTTCCAAAAGAGGGAATTGCCCTAAGCTAGTGATTGTAACCGTCATGCTCAAACTAGTGGCCTAAGTTGGTATGATCGCCTTATAATATTCATCGGAAATTGACGAATGATCTTAACCTCCAGGGCTACTTTATAAATTTCAAAATCATTTATTTCGCGTGTACGGACTACTCCGTACCAGAAAAAGAAAAAGCAAATACCGAAAGTAGCAAGATTGACTTCAGAAATGGATTTTCTACCAGGTACATACTACTCCGTACGGAGTGCAGTGGGGGCCGAATAATGCTAAGCCATATTGCTCTGACTACCTTCCCGATTGGTTAATTGGTCTTTTCATAATTAATTCTTATTCTTCTGATTCACGTGCTTCAGCCAGCGTCGCATTGCATGACAGAGGGACTCATGTTCGACTTTTTTCCAATTTAATTATGATCTCCTACATGGAGCGACTTACCCAGGTTTCATACTTATTTTTTCCTTTAATTGCCCACTCGCCAAATGTGATGACGTCGTATGTAGAGGAAAGTGAATGAAAAAAAAAAATCTGATTACCATTTTGTAGATTTTTTTCAAAAGTCCTCATTGGTTTCTTGCTATGCTGATGCAAAGAACACCATGACCTACCCCAGAATTTACATCAAAGACTAACGATAGATGATCAGCGCCCCTTTCCCCGGGGTTACAGCAAGATCGACAACCACCGTGCATGATGTCTCCCTTTTAGCCAAGGATCATCCTTCAGGGTGTTCAACATTCAACGCATTTTCCTAGGCTAGATATTTGTGGCCCACTCGCCTATTGGTACATGACCGGATTGCAGTCTCTTGTTGGGCGTTGATGGGATCCCAGTGGGATAATAATAGGCAGGGCTGTGCTGTAACCCAGTTTGGACATTGCCCTACAATCAACATTCACCTCAGGATGTTTCGAAACACTATTTTATTTCGCCTGAGTGGACCACTGTTCTCATTTACCCCTGCATATCCAACATATCCAACATATGCAGCGATAGTTGGTTTATATATTCCACAACCTCCTTCGCTTTTCTCATGATGTATCCATTCTAAGTCGACACCTCAATTCAGTTCATCCTTGTCAAAATGCAGGTTCTCAGTACTTTGATTCTGTGCTCCGCGGGACTTGCTTTTGCATATGAGGTGCCCGCCAATTTGCAAGAAATCTACAAATCCCACAAGGTAAACCTTGCATGTCCGTCAATTATATACAATGGTCCTAACATATACAGGCCGCTAAATGTGATAACCTACTCTCTAAAGGATTTAGCGATGGAAGCAAAGGCACCGACATGGGTTATTGCGGCGACATAGACGGGGCTATCTTCTTGCACAGTACCTCCAAGGGGGGGGCCTACGCTGACATGGATGTCGATTGCGATGGCGCTAATAACTCCGAGGGAGGCTGCTCCAATGATCCGAGTGGCCAAGGTGTCACGGCGTTCCAGGATGAAGTGAAACACTTTGGCATCAAGGACTTGGATGCCAACATTCACCCCTATGTTGTCTTTGGAAATGAGGAACATAAACCTTCGTTTATGCCTGATAAGCACGGGATGGAGCATCTCAGTGTGATGGCGATTGTGTGTGGTGGTCAACTAGTACGTCACCCCTGTACCCGCGACTTATTTAATCTTTTCCCTGCTAAAATTATCGCAGCACTATGGTATCTGGGGTGA